TGCCTATTTTTGGATGGTAGAGTAAGGTGATCTTTTATTTTGGCACATGTATTCTATAATTTTAAACTAGACAAGCTTCAAATGAGTGTAACTTCGTCAAAAATGATCGTATCGAGATGTTCAAAAAAGCATTTTACAGCTTGAAATCTCTACTTTTCAGATCGACACTTTAGAAAAGGATCCTATTTATTTTTTATGGAATTACATAGGTCCAAATGAAAATGCGTCAAATCTCTAAAAATGTGTACTAAATTTAAAGGTTTTATGGCATAAACTAGAAATCGCACACAAATGCAGTTTACTGCTTTCGAAAGAGTGAATCTTTACCTTCAATTTGCTTTTTTGTTTGAGCGTTGTACGATTTTTTTTTCTACCGAGTTATTCTACATTGGAAGCAAAAAGGACCATTTTTGCTTTTAATGTTGAATAACTCGGTGAAAAAAAAATACGTACAACGTCTCAAAAAAAAAACAAATTAAAGGTAAAGATTCACTCTTTCGAAAGCTGTAAAACTGCATTTGTATGCGAATTTTTATTCGCGCCATGGAACTTGTCAAAGTTCATAAAAAAATTTTGAGATTCGTCGGGTCTCCCTTTCTATCCGTATAATTCCATGAAAGATCAGTAGGATCGTTTTCTCAAGTACCGATTTGGAAAGTAGAGATTTCAAGCTGTAAAATGCTTTTTTTGAACATCTTGATATGATCATTTTTGACGAAGTTGCTCTATCTTGAAGTTTGCCTATTTTTAGAGGCTAGAACAGGTGATCCTTTAATTTTTTGGACCAGTGTAATTATTATTTAGAATAAAATTTGATTGAAATATGAGTTCTTTTTGTGAAACATTACTACATTAAGTATGTATGTACAACGTGAGATATATTGTGTAATACCGTGTGATATAATAAACTATATGAATGTATAATCTTCCTTATCGACTTACTATTAAATTCTTCATACTTTGCGCTAAAATACAGACGTCTCTCGTTGATCTAGTATTAGTAAGTATGGCATGTTTTAAAGTGTTATTAAATCTTACATCTCCCGCTATGTGTATTATTATAGTCGTTCTTTCAATCAGCATTTGTCTGTCCGTAGTCGATATACCTAATTCCTTTTCCCTAACATCGCCAGAAATTGGAACTAATTTCTTGAAATTTGAAGGTCGCTCTTCATGCAATCTTTCAAATAACTAAAATAGGAAAAACAATAATAAGTAAAATTGACTGATATGTGAATACACAACTAATAAACCTATTCGAAGCGGATCTTGCTTATAATATTTTTGCATGAGTTTATATACATCTTTCAGTTTGTACGCTGATTACATGTCTATCTTAAAAAGATAGTTTTACAATAAAATTTGAGTCCTAATATCATGATTTATTGATATTTGATTATTAAATTGACAAGCAATTTAATAATATTAATACTAATAAACATCTTGTATACATTCAAATGCATAAAAAAATTAATTTATCAATTTTTGCATCTTTTTATAATAAAATACTGTAAAATATTTTCCTAAAGTTGCAATTCGGAAAATAAATCAAGCTTAAAAATAAATAAAGTTATAGCGTTTGAATAAGATAGGCGTTTTGCCGAGTGAACTGCTGAACAAACTCCGCAGCGCTCTGTTCAGCTGTACGTGTTTCTAATTTCTATTATGTTCAAGATGTTCTTTGTTCCTTACCCCAGAAAATCTACTTATACATATAGCCCTGGAAAGGTAATTGTACAGAAGTAAAAAAAATGTATATTGCTTAAAAACTAAAGGTAAAAATAAAAATTTTGAACGCGCGCTTTTCTCAAAAGTGCGTTTTGCTCGAAATTTTAGATTGATATCCAAAATTACATTTCAAAAACGAATGAATGGATTGAATTCGTTTTTTCTATTTATTCAGCATGAAAATATGCAAACTTCATATAGGTTTTTTTTACATCTTAATTTTGTTTTTACATTGATAG